AAATAAAATTGTTAAGCCTCTTGACCACTTCAGACGGCCAAACCTGTTGGAAATAAAGTATACTTAGAAGTGGCAGGTTGGTGATGTTCTTAGCAGGCAAGAGGAACTTAATCAATGATTCAGATATTTGATGTCCGTAATCTATCAAAGCCTGATGGCATTTATCTACTAAGTCAAATGTTTTAACAGTCATGGAACTGTGAGATTTAGAGCAGTGTTAATTAAGCAGTGATAATCTATCCATCTTTCATTTGATTTTTTCTATTCCTTTTTGTAAAAGGACTTTTTCTTACAGTACACGAATTTTTTGGGCTTATAATTAAGCTACTTATACTAAACTATTTGAAAGGGAATTAGTTGCACTGTTAGGCATTATAAATAGTATTATAAATTGCATTGTAAACACTGTAGGAGTTTTGCTATTGCGTTCTTAGAAATAGGACTTGTAGATAGGATCATGGTTTTGAATGTATTTTAAAGCATATGCATTTTAATATGTGGGCCTTTATATTTCTAAAGGGAGCTCACCTTCAATTTGTTTTTTTTTTTTTAGATAAAAGATGCTAGTAGGACTATTCATTTAAAGGATTTTTTTTTTTTTGTAGCACATATCTTTTCAGGGATATATCTGTTTTACTGATCTATCTATATATTTTACTGATCAAGTTTTGCTATCTTTCTCATCACTTTTATTTTTTACTTCACTTTCATGGTTTCCTGTAGGTTACCTAAAAATAGTTACCTGAAGTAGTTAAAATTAAGTACACAACCTGATAATAAGGATTTTAATAGCCACAGAAATCCTTGATTTTTATTTTTACTTCCTACATATTATACTATATGTGGAATTAATTTGAATTTAAGTGATACTGAGCTTGAGTTAGAATTCCAGCACTGGGGCTTATGTTTCATACTTTAGTTTTTATTTTTCAAAAGCTTTGCAATCATATGATCTTTTGTCATTGTTTAAATTGGAAAAGATAAAATTTGGTTTTCATCTCAAATGAGTAGTGTTAATAATATCTTACTAGGATTTTGATTATTGTAATTATAATGGGAAAATTTTCTTTTTATATCACCCAGCTGAACTTTTTAATAAAGTAGGTTAAAGCATATTTTCTAATGAAAAATATGATTAGAAATAGTAAAGCTAAAAATCATTAATTTATAGCAGGATGCTTACAATTTATTACTATTAGAGGAATAGTAATCCATGAATGTAGAGAAATTTAAAAGTGAAAATATCCCATTTTAAGAATAAAGAAAAGAACTCTTTTCATAGTAATACTAAATCTAAATATTTCAGTTAAATATTTTGCAAACATACACCGGGAAATGCAAATAATAAATATGCATATCGTGGGAGAATACTGCCACCTTGTGTATATATAATGCTATTTTATGTCTCCATTTTCTTTTGTTTTACCAGCTAATACAGTGTGCTTTTTCACCATTTGGTAATGTGGTCAGATATGTAAATATGTAAAACATTTGTTTTATATTTTCATGTTGTAAAATCCAAATTTTACTTTTTCTTGGCAGGAGGAAGGTCTTGTATTTTGAAGACAGCAAATCTGGTGTACATAGCTGTAAGAATTGGAAAGTCTGAGAGATAATGTCTGGTTACTTGATCTCTGATATTAGTTAAGAATTGAATCCTTTGATTCTTATGGAAAACTGGTGATTCTTTGATCATTCTTCATTTAAGTGCTTGAGGTTCTTTGGAATCATTCAAATGGCAGAATTCATTATACTATAGATAAAGGGAATACAGGTCATTGGGTTTACTGGCACAACCATATTCCTTTATTTTTAAATGTTTTCCTTAATTCAGTGCAGAATGACTATAATAATAACATGTAATAGAACATCACATGTTATTTTTGAAAAATATTAATATAAAGAAGTCTGCCTCGGCCCTCTGAGATGAATGATATAGTCCAATGCTCTTTAACCCATTAAAACCTTTTAAAAAAAGTGCCTTGAGGAATTTTAAGGATTTAATTGTAAAAAGCTTATCATAGCAATCTTTATAATAGGGAAAAACTAAAAACAATTAAATATACTGTATTGGTTTGTAGTGTCTACATATGATAGAATACTTGTTGAGTCACTGAAGATGATGTCTCCCATTCATATTCTTGACATGAAAAGTTACATGACGGTGAGTGAAATTGGTTTCAGATAGTCTCTAAAAAGGAAGACCCACAAGACTAGCATTTTGCTTTCTGATGTTCACAACTAGCTTAGCTGTGTCATAATGAGCACTTCTCTGGGCATAAGTATGTTCATCTGAAAAATGAGCAGTTGAACTGGGTAGTTTCTAAGGAACTTTTTAGCTTTAGAATTCTATGACAGTGTAGCATTTTACTGTAATTTTAAAAATATTAATGCTATAATGCTCTTTAATGGAGTTATACTCTTCTATAAGCAATTATTTAAAAGTTGAATATAATCACATAATTGTGCTTGTCATAGAATATATTAGTAATTTGAGGGAATACATTTGTATAAAAGTTTAAAACCAGAAGCCCAGGAAATGTGCCTACTTTTTGCTTAACACCTGGGGTACTTAAAGATATCATAAGACTGGTTTTGGGACAACCTAGATTTAATACTATTTTAAACAACATAACACTGTTTTTTGTGGCACAAATGCATTTTATTTTACATGCCTACATTTCAACTTCTTGCAAGGCTTTAAAAGTTGGTATAAATATGTTTAGGCGCATATCATAGGCAAAATTTTCTGAGATGAAAAGAGAATAAGAAGTAACTTAGCTTAAAGCTGAAATCTTAGAAGTTCTTTAGGATAATATTTGACTGAAAATTTAAGACCAAAGATTCTACAGAATGTAAATCTCTTCATTTTTTAGTGTACAGCAGCAGATATTTCCTGCTGACCTTGATTCATTTTTCTTGTGAAGGGCTAAGAGTGGACACATGTAATCAGGTTTAGCTTTTTACTTTGAGGCCATATGGGAATAATTTTTAAAAATTCTAAGCGTAATTTTAAAGAAAATGATTTTCATTATAAACATGCCAAATTCAACATCTATCTGTATGGAAATAATTTCCCAGTGCCTAGTGATTGTAATACCGAAGCAAAATGACTGTATTGGTACTTTTGCATTTATTTTTGTCTAAGAGAAAACTATTTTACAAAGTGCAAACTTCATGACAAATGTTTAAATTCACTAATATAATGGATTTCACATAAAATTTTATATTTTTTATAAAAGCACATAATTATAAAACACGAAAGATGTTAATGAAAATGTACATATTGCTCTTCTAATTTAAATTATTTTGGAAATATAAAAATAAAATTTTAAGTAAATTATACTTCATAAATATAGAGAATATAATCATGAAAGAAGTAGATGATAGAAAATATAATCTTAAGAAAACAAAGGTGTCAGTGGTGATATTAGTATGAGGTTTTTCTATAAAAATTTTCCCAAAGCTCTCATCCAAAACCTTCCTCTACAGTGAGGGAGGAATGTGAGATTAGAGGAAAATAATGGGAGATAATTTATGATAGGCTCATCTATAAATCCGATCTCTGGATTGATACTCTTGAGATATTTTTGAACAGTTTGTTTTTGTACAGAGATATTTTTGAACAGTTTGTTTTTATTGGTAGCAAACTGTTATTTTAAAGAGCATTCTTGGTTTCTTTTTCTTGACTTATGTATAGAGATTTCAGTACACAATTAATGATCTAATATTTGGCTCATTTGTATTGTGTTAGTGTTCTGCTTGTTTGAAAAACCTTTCAGCTGGGTGAAGAATTATGATTGCAATAAAAAGTTTGTCAGTTGTCATTTTTTTCTTCCTTGAAGGTTATGGAGAATTAGAATGCTTTCTGATTAGTATATCTTTGCTTATTTTGAAGTTTAAAAAAAATTGAGATATAGTTGACATTTAACATGTTATAGTTTCAGTTATACAACACAATGATTTAATATTTGTATATATTGTGAAATGATGACCACTCTAAGTCTAGGTAACATCAGTCACCAACATAATTACAGATTTTTATTCTTTCGATGTATTTTGAAATTTTAATACAGCAAATAACTTTCTGTATAAGAAGAGTTTTCCTCAAGTATTTACATCATAAACTGCGTAATTAATTGAATTTGCAATAAGAAGATTCATCATCAGTTATTTCAGTAGACTATACTAGGACACAATGCTAAAATGTAGTAAACATTGACATTTCAATGTGATTGTTTATTGTGTTCTACAGACTGAGACCTATTTTTTATGTAATGTGCAAAATTGAATGAATGAGTCGTTGATTTTGATAGAAATGGTTTTTAAAACTATGAAATACTGACAGTTTGGAAATTAAAAATAGCATACTGTTCTTTTTGGAATACTAAAAACTGGTAATGTCATCAACTGTTGTGTTAATACGTAGGTCAAGGAAGAGATTGGTAAGTTATATAGAAGTTGAAGGATTTAGAGTGTTTATAAGCCCAGCACTCAGATTTTTAATCTACTTTATTAAAAGTGTCTATTACTAGTAGTGTCAGTACTAGTGAATCTACTTTGTAAGTCAGTCTTTTCATCACAGCAGATAAATAATTGTGATTTTTCTAATATATGCAAAAATTGCTCCCTATTTAAGTGAATTTTTTTTAATCGCAAACTTTTTTAGTCCAGCCTATAATATAAACTCAGTAACATGTAAAAAATGAAGCACTTTTTAAACCTTAATTATATTTTTCTCCTTTGTTCTTACTTTTTCCTTTGAATGCATTAGATTTAGTGGTTACAGCCCTTGTGAAGCAGGTATTGCTCGTCAGTGATCTGTATTTAGAAATATTAATCCATAGACATATGATCTACATTCACTTTATTTAAACTAATATAATGTTAGTGTGAAAGGTCTTTTAAATGATTATGGAAAATAATAGTCAATGATACCCTGTTCAGTTTTGAGCTGTTTAGCATAGGTTTAATTTAATACATTTATTTGTTCTTATTAGGCAAGAAGTTATGAAATGGAATGGATGGGGCTATAATGATTCCAAGTTCTTCTTCAATAAGAAAGGCCAAGTTGAGTTGACTGGGAAAAGGTAACCCTGGTTTATTTATTCTTTCTTTTGTTCCTTTTTTCCCCCTTTTTTCTATGAAAAACTTTAAACTTAAGTAACTAACATAACATGTTAAATAATATACATAAAAATAGAGAGGATAGTAGGACTCCTATTTAGAAGCTGTCAACATTTTGCTATACTTTTTTTCTGTAGTATTTCAACTTCAGACATTATTATGTCATTTCTATATATATATGCATCTCTTAAATAAGGACCTAACATAAGCAATCATAGAATACCATTATTATACTCCTAAAATAACAGGAATTTTATAATATCTGAATCTAGTCCATATCCACATTTCCCTAATCATGTAAAAAATGCCATTGTATAGGTAGTTTGTTTGAATCAGGATCTAAAAAGTCATACAGTCACTGTACTACCCAGTCCCCATGCCACTGACAAAGTAACTATTTTTAGGACTGGAACTTTACATCTGGGTGTAGGTTATTATGGAAGGTGAATAATTTTAGGTCTACGTAAATATCAATAGTATTTTAAAAATTAATTTTCTGAGATATATTCAGGAAGAAATGATGAAGGAAGATAAGTCATTTGTGTGATAGCTTTCACATTTTGAAATGTTTTGGTGTTGATAAGAATTCTAAAGAATATTTCTGTTGTTACTGTCCCCCGTGCAGACAGTATTGTAAAATGAGTTCTCAGTTGATTTTAAGCAACATTGACCCTGTCAAAACTGGTGTTTTTGTTTGTCTACTGAGTCTTGATATATAACTTTTGAAAGGACAGTGAGTACAAATATATAATATTTAGGTGCTGGTTCTAAAAAATAAATTAAAAATTGAGACTAGGTAAAAACTCAGACCAGATATATGATGAGTCTGTTCCATTATGGTACTTTGATTTAATATCTGTCGGGTATTAATATGCTTAGGTTAGCATGTTTTAAACTTACTTGGTATATCAATGTATTGAAATATCAACAATGAAAGTTTTATTCTTTTGGAGAAACTCTTTCGGTGGAACATAATTTTTCTGACTTAAACATACTTTGTACCTGAAACAAAACTTCAGGAATAGTAATTATGAACTGATTCTAATGAAGGTATATTAGCCTTTTATTATCTGTATTCTCATTTCTATCCTTAAATGTGACTCGGCAGCATGTTGGTAGAGGCTTAGTTGAGAAGTTATGTAATTCAGATAGAAGGAATTTCTAGTTAAAATTAAATTTACCGGTGTTCTAAATTTTAAGTGATGAACTAAATAGAATAATGTCTAATATAGTAGAAACTTATCTGTGTAGAGGTTGACTTTATAAAATATTCTGGGGGGATAAAGTAAATTTTCTAAACTTAGAAAACCAACTATTTGCCTCTCAAACAGTCTTTATTTCTCTCTTTCTCTCTGGACCTTGAAGTATAGCATCTTTGTTTTACAGGAGTGGGCAGATAGTCACATATACACAGTGCCAGTATAAGCATAAGACAATCACTGACTTCTGTAGACTACTGTAGGCTCTGTAGTGGTTTATGTTAGAAGTGTATGTGTGTGAAATGAATGATTAGTCACAGAAAATATCACAAGTAATTATACACTTAGTGGTCCCATGAGTTCAGAATCTGGTTCTATTTTGGATGTTCTGTCACTTGTTTTGTTAATTTTCCCAGACAGGATCAGGTTGTGGGAGTCTGATACATGCCAGACTCATAAGATACTTATTTAAAAAAATTAGAACCCCAGTGTATTCATTTGTGCTTAGATTATTCCTTTTTCAGTGTAGCACACTTGTTAATGCCCTTCTTTTATGTAAGAATGTAAAATATGTAGGAAACAAAGTTTGTAATTCAGATATTATTCAGAGAGCATAAATTCAGAGCAGAGGGGATTTAATCAGTGGTCTTGAGATTTGTATTCAGGTTGTAATACAACCAGAGAATTTATCTGTTGACTTTAGACTTTGGAAGATTGCTGCTGCTGTCACTCTAACCAGAATGGATTCCTTAAAGGCCTTGTTGTTTGCATCAATTACTCCTGAGTCCAGGTCCAGTGGGGGAGTTGGGGAAACAGATGCATCTGACTGGCAGAGTCTGCAAGGGAGACCAGGAAAGTGGATGTTAGGCACATTTGCTTTAGTGGAAGGTAGCTTTTGCTTCCCACCAAGACTCATCTAGAGGATAATTCTCCAAACACAGAAAAGGAATTTAGATGCCCTAAGATTAGGTATTTACTACATAACCTGGTTAATAACTAACACCAAATAACTAAATAATTATTTCCCATTTTGGTGCTTCCAGGAGCACCATTACCTTGTCACAGACAGGATAATAAACTGGATTGAATTGAATCATGACTTTCTCTATATCTAGTCTGTTTTCCTAGGGGTAGTGGTTGAATTAATAAATTTCTCTAATTTTTGTCAGAAGGCATTTACAAACATTCTTTAGGCTAATAATAGCTATTACTTTTTGAGTACCTACTGAGTCATCTTAAAATAACCTGAAGATGGGTAGTGATAGTTTTTTAAGTATAATTGGGATTGAGGGTGAGAAATGTTAAGTAGTTTACCTGAGATCACTTGCTTAGTGGCAAGTTGGGATTAAAAACCAAGTGTTTTTAGACTTCATTCTTGTGCTGTTTCTATTAAACTGTGCTTATAAGATTTTTAGCAAATAACCATCATTGTGTTGATCTTAGTCTCTCTCCAAGCCCTGAGAGCACTTTATAGTAGTCTCCCACACTCTGTACACTAGCACAACAGAGTTAGTCATGTTGTAAAAAGTTATTGTATGACAAGACTTCCTGCTGTTCTAGTGAAAGACAAAGGGAGAAGCATATTCCTAAAAGAGAAAGTGGAATTTGTGGCTTGAAGGAATGAGTACAAGAAAATACTGATTTGGCTGGACAGTATTAATTCACTTTTTTTGAATTAATATTAGATTGTAAGGGCAATTTTTGAAATTCTTTGTAAAGACTTCCTATTCTGGCATTGTACAGGACTGAACAAATACAAACCCTTGTCCTTTATAACCACATAGAAAACATGGAGAGAATACCACAAGAAAGAAAGAAAACAGAGCTGGAAAGAAAGGAAAACCCTTAGATGCCAAAAATAAAGAGTGACCCTCAATGAAAATTTTTTGGGTTCTCTTTAATTCTAATCCATAGATACTGAAAAAGTAGAATTTTTTATAAGTAAATGAAGCTGATTATCTGTTTATATTTTTGAGAGGATAACTGACATTTCAAACCCAGAAATTAAATTAGAAGCAATTACTATAAGCCATTGTAGCTCGTAAGGAAATATCAGAAGTTTTTTCCTGAACAGTATCTTCTCAACAAATTTGTAATTTGTCAGTTTATAAATTCCTAGGTTTATAGTCTTGCCATGTATAGATAAATTGAGTCCTCCTAGGTTTAAGCAGCAGAAGGTAGTATTTCAGAGCGAATGCTATACATTTCTATAAACTAAAATTTTTGAAAACTGTCATCCGTTGACTTAAAGAATTATACATTTTTTGGTGATCACATAGTACAAGTTAGTGTTTAAATGGAGAGAGTTTGCTTGGTTTTTTTGTACTTTGTATTTTCAAGGGGGTAATTTTTCATTGAAGTTTTACCTGATTATAAAAAGGCTGTTAAATTGCTTAGCAATTGTGGAACTCACTCTGAGGGTAGGTGATAGTGTCTGCTAACACTTTGCTGTCTCTGAGCACTGTCCCAGAGTCACTTTGTCTTTAGTCACTGTAAATCTTGATGTGCACCTATTTCTTGGGTATTTATGTCCACAGTTTTCTTTCCATATAGAGTGTTTTCATTTGTGCTGAAAGTTTGCTCTGGTTCCGTATCTTCTATAATATAGTCTTATTTTGGTCCCAAAGGAAGGTGGTAAGTTGATGTTAATTTATATTTACAATAAAAACCATTTATTAGAGTTCTCAAATAATCTTCAGTCATGATAAAGATATATTCAGTAGTCAGCCTGTTTCAGCCATTGGTATAAGCTGCTGGCTTTCCTCTTACCACATTTGTAGTAAAAGTTGCTGTAAGGTTGGAGGCACCAGAGGGAGGGGTGAGCATGTTGGACACTGATGATGTACCAAAGTCCCCGGCTGCTGCTCCCTCCCAATCTGAAAAATGTGCCTTAGGCTAGCCAATCCTCGCACTGCTGTAAGTCTAAGCTCTGCCTCCCCCTACCTTCTTAAAAAACTCGCTGCCTGCCCTGCTGAGCACGACTTCTCCAGTCTGTCCTGGTGCAGACTGGTGAACCTCGCCCGGGATTGCTCTCAAACAAACTGCCTGGCCCTTTGTTGCCTTTCATCACCTGCTTATTTCGGTTAGAATTTATCTTACATTTGGTGCTGAAAAACCCCAGGAAGGCCGCCCCCGCCCCCCCGTCCTTCCCTGACCCAGGACCTCAGCCTGCTCTCCTCTGCGTGGACTATTTTCCAGTGAGTCCCTCAGTTTCCCCCAGTCTGCTTCCCTTCCTAACTCTGTTTCACCTGGTCCGTCCAAAATCGTAGCTACGTCCAGGTTGGGGCATCCAGCCCATCCGCTGCTGGCATCCGGAATATCCGCCCCTGGCCCTGCGGTGGGAGAGACGTCCCTCACCCAGGCTCCCAGCCTGTCTCCCCTGACTTGGTGCGCTTGGGACGCTGGGCGCTCCTCTCAGTGGGATTAGTTGGGAAGTGGCGCAGACATGGGGACCAGCCCTCGAAAGCATAGGCTCAGACCCCTCTGTCATGTCTCATTTCTAATTTGGCTACTCTATATTTGTCCCGGGTTTTGGCACCAAATGTAAGATAAATTCTAACCGAAATAAGCAGGTGACGAGGGGCAACCAAGGGCCAGGCAGTTTTATTTGAGAGCAATCCTGGGCAAGGTTCACCAGTTTGCACTGGGACAGGCTGGAGAAGTTGCACTCAGCAGGGCAGACAGCGAGTTTTTAAAGAAGGTAGGGGGAGGCAGAGTTTAGATTTACAGTGGTGCAAGGATTGGCTAGCCTAAGGCACATTTTT